CACGTTCACATGCCCATTCGAAGCTTTTACTTATCGAAGATTCTTCTTTGATCCTAAAATAAAAGGCGATGGCACTAATACAAATATCAAAGTCAATGGATTCTATCCAAAGTTACTTTATGAGATCCCCACTTTGGAAGAGGAGACTATAGAATATCTCTCTTTGGGAAAGGATGCTTATGTGATCATCTATCCACCTTGACTATTCGGGTGTACTCTTTCCTTTCTCTCACTCTTATTTTATATTTTTATTCTTTCATTGATGATAATGTGTGTTTTAAGTGTGGAGGAGGGAACCGTTTATCTTGTTTTATTTCTTTCAGTTTTCTTCGCTTTTGTGTTTTTTCTTAAATAAATAAAAACAGATTGCATGTTGTTCTTTGGTTTTTGAGTTGCAACTGTCTGTGATAAATTCTCTGCTCTATTAATTAAATAATTGTGGTGTGATTTGATTGAATTTTTTTGGGTGCATTCTTGACATGTTAAGTAGGATTAAACTCTAGATTGTACATCATTTGTGGTAGATCATTAACCTTGTGAGATATTGAGCTTTTTAATGGATAACATTAAAAAATCCAACTTTTCTTTCTTGTGTGTTTTACTCATGTGTGTTAGTCTCTAGAACTTGAATTGACTTTGTTGAAACATTTTGTTTACTTGTGCACACTGATATGACAAATGCATGTTATTTTGTTTTATTTTTAACCAGTTAGCCAAAAAAACCAACCCTGCAAATATTATACATTGTTTAGAACCCCTTTGAGCCTATTATCCCATTCTTTGTTTAAACTCATTACAAGTCTGAAAGTGAAAAATAATATTATCACCCATTCATAGGATTGAAAGAGTCTTGTATGAAGTTGAGTGGGGTTGAAAAATATAGTTGTGATGTTTCAAAGGTTGGTAGAAAAAGAAAAAAATTCCTGAAGAAATAAAAAATAAAAAAATGAGAAAAGAAAAGAAGGACATCAATACAATTTCCTTCTTAAAAAGAAAAAAAAGAGAATAAAAAGAGAAAAGAGAAGTGAAATAATAGAAAAGTTGTTTGGAAGTGAATGAAGTATTTTGTAGTTCAACTCCCTCAGTTTCCTTCAATTTTCTTTTGACCCTTTGAATTTTAGCCTAGTACCCCTTATAATTTATCGTACCCTTACCTTGGCCACATTACAACCTGCATAAAAGCCCTTTTGATCTTTGTGTGCATGTATTTCAATTGTGGATGTTAGAGTCTTTTCAAGCTTATCGTAATATTAACTTTCATGTTGTGCTTTGAATGTAAACAGTTAATCTAAACACTTGAGAGTTTAGTGAATTTTATCTGTAGAGGATCTTGCTACTTATGATGTACTCTCTGATAAAATGTTCTCTTATCTGCTTTGAATGTCATAGAATGTTTCTCACTGACGCCATTTTTCATGAAGCTTAGACTTAGGATCTTACTTACACTTTTGCACTATAATTTTTGTTTCCTTCAATTCTATTATATGATTATCGTTTGCTTAATCCAATTTTTCATTGGGTAGTTTTGTTTGGTTCGATTGATGCATGTTTCCTAAATTTGATTGTGTGTTATCGTTTGCTTAATTCGTTAATTCACTTTATTCTTAACCGAGGGCTTAATTCATTCACGCTTGTTGATTGATTTTGTGATCGGCAAATAGGAACCATAATTCTTATAATTTCATTCATGCTTGTTGATTGATTTTTTGATTGAATATGAATACATAATCCGCTTAGGGATTGCAAGTTTATAATAGTCCATGATAGGTAGGAATCGAATTAGTAGATTAACTCTTTAATCGTAACTATAATCACTTATTTTCCTTATTTTCGCAATCGAAACCTAATCCTAAACAAACCCCTAAATAGATTTTAGTAGGTTAATTATAATTCAAGAGTTCTTGTGATACGACATTCGAGTGTCGCTTCCTGTTACTGCATTTTCTAAACTCGTTTTTGACCCGTGTGCGACAACGGATCACCATTTTCATGAAAAAGGTAATATTGGTCATGAATCCAAAAATGGCTTTGGAAATCAATGTGGTCGCTAACCTTTCTATCAGTGGGAAACCTCAGGAGGTTTTGGATCTATAGAAGGTCGTATAGAAGGGAAAAAACCACATTTTACCCCTAACAACGGGACTACCATAGTTCATCCCTTCGTCTCCTTCAGAGGAACCGTTTGTATTTTCGACTAGATGAGAACTAAAAGTTTCACTACCATCTTCAACAAAACCTCTGCCAGACCCAGAGTTATGACTAAACATGATAAGGTTTGCAATAGGTTGGTTAACCTCTAAAGGGTCAATGTTTGGCATTCCTAGATTCATTATCCAAATAGTAGAAGAATCATCGCTATTGGGTATATCTATTATATTTACAGGGTCATCTCCTATGTTTGTCATAACTAAAACAAAGAAAGGGAAATAATGAACTGTAAAGAAGGAAGAGAGAGATGGTACATGAAAGAGCCGAAAATGGAGGTAATAGTTAAAGAGAGACTGAGAGGTTACGATGAACTATGAAATATAGGCCCGAAGAAGAAAAGAGGTTGATAGAATGGGTGTTGTTGAAGCTCAGAGAAGAAAATCAAAGTTTGTAGAAGAGAAGAAACTTATGGTATGCACAAAGAGTGAAAAAATGTTTGAAACACTAAGGAACCCTTATATATGTGAACAAGACAAACTAATCAATGGCTCAAAATGAAAGAAAATTGGGAGACGAAAAACAACCGTTGGATTTCACCTCGGAAATACAATAGAATTTGAGTTCACTTGAGCATCCTGGGAGGAAACGTTATAGCCTAATTCTGAAATCTATGGTCACATGCCAGGAAGATCGTGTAAGACATCTCAATGATGATACTAGCATTTAATGCTCATGTTCGCTAGGTTATTCACGACGACTACCAAATCTTTTCAACTTCTCCAACCAGGGACCCCAATACGAGGAACCCGACCCAATTCTCTAAAAGAATTCGCATTGCTATATCACGAAAAATCTTGGGGACAATTGTTTTGGACCTGCCAATGACCCTATAAGAGAAAGTCTCACATCTTATCTAAGTCACGGGCACCTTAACCAACTTTCATATATAAGGTAACTCGTGTGAAGAAAAATGTATAATTCAAATTCATTCTTACTTTAGCTTTGTTGTACCAGAACATGCTCTACTGATTCAAAATCTCACTTTACTATTTCATCAATCATTTCTTATTTGTGAAAGGAATAAAGCCTATATGAACCTATCTTTATATAAGACCATTTACAATGGTTTACAAACTCAACACCCATTTTTTCAACTCCCAACACTCCACATCATTTTCTCTTTCTTCCACCTAATAACTCAACACCCATTCAACTTTTACCCTCTCCAATGGTTTTTCACTCAACACCCTACCCCACCACTTTTTATTTTCATATTCTTATTTAAATTTTATTTTTATTTTTATGATTACATAAAATTACAATTATCGATTAAAAATAAATTAAAATAATAAATACTTAATAATTTATTTTTTAATTTTTTGTAATAAAAACAAAATTTATTTAAATAATTGGATACGATACAAATCATCTTAAATTAATTTAAAATACAACACACATAGTGAAAAAGACACTTAACTTCAAAATAAACACTAATAATAAAATTAAGATAGTGAAAAACTTAGTTTTTTTTCCTGTGTCCAAATCAAATGAACCAAGTCTCTATTTATAGAGAGAAAAAAAAATTAATTTGCAACGAAATAATTGAGTTCAAAGTATTAAATAGATAAAAATCTGGTCAGCCAATCAAACACAGCCACGTGGCAGATTAAATGGTGTTGAGTTTTCTCAACATCTCTCTCCTCCAACACACACTCAACACTACATTACACACCTATTGCACATGATTTTGTGGTGTTGACTTTAAATAAATCTACCATTGTAAATGGTCTAATGAGATATCTGTGAATACCATAATAAAAGATTTTGAATATTATAAATTATATATGTTATTTTTTAATAAACTTTTTTCACTTATGTATAGATTCTATTATATGATTTGTGTCCTAGACATATATTAGCTTATGACAATATATTTAATATAAATTTAAGTCAAATATATTAAGTTTATTCAACTTATTTTTATTTATAATTAGTTAAAAATTACTTCTGTTATTTTTATTTATAAGTAAATTTTAATATTTTAAATTTATTAAATAATTAATATATATATTTTATATATAATTTAAATATATTATTTATTAAATAAATCTAAAAATTAAAATTTGCTTATAAAAGAGAATGGAGGAAATAGTAAGTATTTTGTTGTTGTTGCAAATTGCAAAAGAGAGTCGGTCATCTCATGTTTTTCAGCTCTTAGATTTATTAAATAAATCTAATAAATCAAAATTTACTTATAAGAAAAGAAAAAGTAAAAAGTAAAAAATAGAAGGAGTAATAAGTATTTTGTTGTTGTTGCAAATTGCAAGAGACTGAGTCATCTTCTCATCTTTTTCTGCTCTAGAATCATGATCTTCATATGTATGGAGTAGCTTTCCCTTTCACAATTAACAATAAATAGCCAATGCCCGAAATCTAACCTAATTATCCAAAATCACCTGAACAAACAGAAGACATAATTATCCAAAATCAAAACTAGAGTGTTCTTAAACATGAGACAATGACCTTAATCATAATTCAGCAATTCAAATTACAATTTCTTATCAATTATTACATGCTAATTAGCACTTGCTTTGCTGCTTAATTAGGCTCACTGGCCACTGAGTTGGACTCTAATCAACCAAGTCCACCCAACCGAATCATTGCCCATAAACCACCCATAATAATATAATACTAAAAATTAAACAAATTTATTAACCAACAACCACAAGTGGAATTTGATTAATTAACCATAATAATAATATTAATAACAATAACAATAATTAAACTAAAATTACAAACCAGGCGAAGCGAGAACTATTCAAGACACAAAATAAACCACCTGAACCGGACAATCAACCATCGAACCCGGTCTGACTCCACACAGCATCACGAACCCGGCTCAAATCACGACCTTTCAAAGTTCTACCCACACCCTCAAAAACCGATTTCGCCGCCGTCTTACGGCTACGCGCTAAGTACTCGTGTGGCGGAACCATCCCCAAATCGTCATCGTCATCGAGACTATCATCGTGAAGCGACTCAACCGAGTCAACTCGGAGTATCTTACTCCAATCCGGCACGTTCACCGGCAGCGATGTTGCCATCTGACGTCCACGTGGCGACGGCGCCACACTCTCGTGCGTACGGAACTGATGCACGATCCTCGCCGTCACCGTCGCGGAGATATTATCCGCTGGATCTTCAAACGCAAGCGACAGACCACCTAATTGACGGCTCCCGTCGCCGTTTTGAGTAATCCGACCCCGGTCACGATACGACGATCCGCCGTTACTCACAACAGTATCAGCGTTTGTCGACTCCCACTCATCAGGGAAATTCAAGTCATGTTCACCGCTATCACCACCGCCGGTGGACCAGACATCCTCTTCTCGAAGCTCCGACGGATCGGCGGCAGTGGAACCTTGGTTCTGAGAGTAACCGTATGTCCCTAAGAAACGCTCGCTTTGGCTGGTAGTTAATTTCCGACCTTTCGCCATCTACGGCGGCGGAAAAAGGTTACGCCGCCGCGAATTCAGAAACTATGAGATATAATTAAAAAAATGGAAGAGAAAAAAAGAATTATTCACAATTTTTTTAATATTTCTACTATACTAATGTTATGAGTCCATTGCTCTTAAGCTTGAGCTGAGGAAAAAATGGTTGCAACTTGTTCTCTATATATAATGATGGAATTTCATTTTAATTTGAGTTTGAGTTTAGTGTTCATTTTATCTGAATTTACTCTTTTCTGGTGTAGTAGTATTAAAATTACTGCACTGTAAATTTATGTTTTATTTATACTTTAATCCTTGCATGGGAAACCGCTCCAATATCTAGAATTCGGTTGAGAAATTAAATTAAATTAAATTCTGTAATTTAAATTTGACTATTTTTCATATATTTATTTGTCATTAAATAAATTTATTAAATGGAATAGTTAAAAGTAATGCAACTCAATGGTTTTTGATCGTTAGATAATATCTCTTCGTTCTAAATCATACGTCATCTTGTATGAAAAAATTTGTCTATAAATTATCTTATTTTAATATAATATCAATGATATTTTTTTAATATATTCTTAAATATTTATTATTATTTATTTTTTTAATTTTTTTTCTGAGATAACTATGTGCGATATTATTATAAAATTATACATAATTCTTATTTTTTATTAAATTTTTTAATTTTTATAAGAATTATGATTTTAAAAAATTGAAATGATGTGATTATATATTGTAAAAAAAAGGATAATTTTGTTAATAAAACAAAAGACTTTAAATTTTAGGTAATGACAACACACGAGAATTATTTAAAATTAAACGAAACATTATAACACAAGAATTTGTCTTTAATGGCACGTCACTGTGGTGGTGTGTGGGATAATAACTGGTTAATTTTGAGGCAATATAGGGAAGATAATGGAAATGAACCCAAATGAAACATTGGAATCTTAATTGGGACTTTCCATTTTGAGACTTTCATCTCATGTCATGCCTATCACTGAAACTAATGAAAACGATTTTAATGCTTTTTTTTTTTTTTTACCGTGGGTGAATATTGCGGGGCAAAAAGGACAAATCGCATTCATGGTCTTGTAGGTCAACTGTTTTATTTATGAAGGTCTTCTACCATAATTAGACAGACTTTGGAAGAAGAAAGAGGTTGATTTTGTTGAGTAAAAATGCAGATTAGTCAACAAAATTTGATGTGACCCGATTTAATTCTTTTTAGTTACATGTAGGGCGGACAATTACTAAACAAATTTAAAATAATTTGAAATTTGATTTGATAATTAATTGTTTGAATTTATTTTTTATTTATGTAATAGAATAGTATAGACCTTTCTTTGAGAGATATACAGATAACAAATTTTGTACACTAATATGTAAATTTCATCCATTTTTTCTTTGTGATATCATCTATTTATAGCTTTAGCTCTTAAGACAGAGGGATTGATTTTTTTTCTATATTTATCAGATTTGACCTATTAATAAGAAAAACGAAGTGAGTTACTCCTTGAATCTAGAGAGTGTGACAATATCGGAGAAATTCTAATAAATTTTTCAAAATGCGTCTCAACACATTACTATTATGTTGGGCTTGAACTCCCTCGTGTTAGACTTGAGCTTTTCTATGTTAGGCTTAAACATTCACTGAGTTTTTCTTTAAAGACTAAGTTTTTGCCACAGGCTTGATCATAAACCTCTTGTTCCTACCTTTTCTCCTTATGAAAATGTTTTGCATTAAAACTAGAGTTGATCGGAAAGAATGGATTGACAGTCGGTTACCGATGGTTTGCAACTTCCAATGCAAGAGAGAGGGGATTAATTTACAAATTTATCACTCCAACGTTCAAGTTAGTAAGAGAGTGAAAAAATAAAATTTAAAGAAGAAAAAGACAAAAGAAGAAAATGAGTTAGAGAAATACATTATAGTGTAAATAAAATTCATTTGAAAAGAACAAAAGAAAATAGAGAAAAAAGAGTTTTACTTAAGCTCTGCTAGGGTTTCATTTTTTCTTCTCTTATGAGAAGCTTGTTTGTTGTTTTCCTCGGTCTTTTGGTTCTATAGTTTCTATTGCAGTTCAGTATGGCGAGCCTTAGTATTGAAAATCTATCAATCCATGACGAAGGCGAAGAGGAAGGTTTTTGCTTTGATCTAAATGTAAAAGGAGGAGAGGTGGTGGATCTACGATGGTGCCTTATAGGTTGGTTCTTGTGTGTTAAATCCATCCATGTGAAATCGATGAAATTGAGAGTGGCAGATATATATGGAGACCAGTGAAAGGATTAACTATCAAGCAAGCAATGGAAAGTTTGTTTCTGTTTCACTTCTTACACAATCTTGATATGGAAGCGGTTTTGAAAGGAGGACCATGGACATTTGACAATCACCTTCTTATCCTTGAGAAGATTAAGATCGGAGTATGAATTGAAAACATCGCCTTATTCCATGTAGAGTTTTGGATGCAAATTCATAATCTACCGACGAGTCTCATGTTAGAGAAGGTGAGGAGAGCGATGTATAATTTCATTAGAACTTTTGTAGAGTACGATAAGAATAATAACTCAAGTTTCTAGCATTAGAATATAAGTGATCTTACCTGATCAGAAGGGAATCAGTGACCTGCCACGCATCTTTGATTTGCTAACTGCTCACCGAAGGAATGGAAGAGGAGGGGGTGTACCTGAAACACACTTTGATGCCAAAGTAAGTGACGAGCAAAGTGGAAGCAAGCACACACACACACACAGAGAGAGAGAGAGAGAGAGAGAGAGAGAGAGAGAGAGAGAGAGAGTAAGAGAGTTAAGTTACCTAACCCTCTAGTGAAGAGGGTATTTATAGTGAGCTCCCAGCGCAAGGCCAATGGTTACCTAGCACTAGGCTGGGCTACCAGGCCCAATGTTAGTAATTGCTAGGGCTGACGTGGCGTCGTGAAGACCATTACGTGGTCTTCGCCCTAGGGTAACTGTTCCGCATTATTCGGGAGGAGGAAGACCGAATCTCCAGGACGTGGTTAGTTACTTTATGACGTGTCCCTGCGTGAGGGACACGAGGAGAACGTGGGGAGGCTCGAGGATCTCCCCGGGAAGATAGAGGTTGGCTGGTCGGCTGCGAGGGTCTTGCCCGACACCTGAAGGCCTATGCCCGACGGGGGAAGGAGAGTCGTTCCCGACGGGATCCTGCCCGTCAGTGAGGACCTAGTGGGTCCAATCTCAGAGGGGTTTGGGCCTGCCTGAGCGTGGCTTAAGTCTCGGCCCAGTCCATAACAGTAGCCCCCTAAGTCATTGTTTACGGTCAGACGAGCTATGACTTGAGCAGAGAATGGCGTCGGGTGCGTTGGTCTGTCGGGCAGGAAGCAATCGTGTCGGCCAGATGGGCGTATGACGAGGTGGAGACCGTGGACGAGGGAAGAACTTGAAGAGACGCAGGGAAGATGGAGAGTCGCCACGTGTCTTCTTGTGACGGCTATGGGCTAGGTACTTGAGTGCCTAGCGACGCTTCGTTTCCCATGCTAGGGGTATATATATATATATATATATATATATATATATATATATATATATATATATATATATATATATATATATATATATATATATATATATATATATATACGTTGACCTGTCTCGTCTTTTCGCTCATTCGCTTATTTGCAGCTGCCCAACATCCAAAACTTTCTGCTCGACACCTTCGATCGCCTCTGCTCGACATCTGGGATTTTTTTGCCCGACAACAACCTTTCCGCATCCATATCCAGTAAGTTTCTGCACCCTTCTTGGTGTTTTTTGCTGTTTATGGCGGTGTTTCCGGCGGCTCCGCTGGGGGTGCTGGGAATACCGTGGGTTTTTCCAGCGAATTCGTCGGAGGATCCTTCAAAATTAGGATATAAACGATCGTCCTCGGCCCTTGCGATGAGTTCCCCGGGAAGGATTGGAAGAACATTGAATGCCCCGAGGACGATGAGATGAATGCCCCCGGACACAATTGGATGTGTGCGCCGAGGACATAGAATGCATTCTCTGGTCTCCTAGGGGGATAAGATTGCCCCAGCTCGTCCTATAGGCGGTTAGGAGACCACGCCCTTTCACTTGAACTGCGGTGGAAGGGTGGATTTGATTTGGCTGTCGAATTCACCAAGTTTCTCTGCTTTTCAGGAAAAAAATGGCTGGCCATGCTAAGGAAGAAGTGGAGTGGTACCTGTCAGAGGACAAAGAAGGTCGTCAGGACGAGGTCGATCTAGATCCCCCGGAGAGACCTTTAGAGGAATGGGTTGGGGAGGAGCCTTTAAATTATATGTCGAGGTTCATCCTCGACGACTCCGATGTGTTCGCGGTGATAGAAGATGGGGTGGCAGGGAGCCCCCATCAGTTCCGTGCTTGCCGGCCCCGGGAGTCTGATCGCATATGCTCGCGGTATAACAGCGGTCGGTTCCCGATGTACGAGTTTGCCTTCAAGGAGGTGGGAATGCGAATGCCCTTCACTGGCTTCCAGCAGGTCGTGTTTGACCATCTAATGCTAGTGTCGTCCCAACTTCACCCAAATTCCCTAGCTTTCATCCGAGCATTCAAGATCGTCTGCAACTACCTGGAGCTCGGGGTCACCATCCCGCTATTTTTCTGCATTTTCCACCTGCAATGTTAGACGATGGATGGCTGACATAACTTGGTTTCTCTGAAGTAGGCGACCAGGCTCTTTTGGTCGTATATCGATTCTGTTCGGGGGTTTAAAGATCGCTGGTTCGTGGTCATGCCGACTACGGACGAGGCGTATGAGACCATATTCTGGAGAGAAGTTATAGTCGTGGATGGGCGTTACGAGGACAACTATGAGTCCAACTTTCCTCTGGACTGGGCAGACATGCATTTCTGTTCGGGTACCGACAGTTTTATCTACAGGCCTGGTCGGCTGGACGAGGAGGACAGCTTGGCCTTCCGAAAGCTGGTGGACTTCATTAGTCGTCTTCCTCCTTGGAAGTGTGTGTCCCCCAGCGGGG